ATCCAAATGGGAAGAGATAAAAACTTCTCAACCTTACAAACGGTGCTGAGTGCTACAGGAGGCGGTGCTTACAAGTTTGAGAAAGATTTTCGCACAGTAGGTGTCTTACTTGAAAACCAAAAATTAATGAGAATATTCAATTTTAAATACAAGGCTGGGCTTCTAAGGCAGTGATTCTCAACCTTCCTAAAGCTGCAACCCTTTAATATGGTTCCTCATGCTGTGGTGACCCCCAACCATAAAATTATTTCATTGCTACTTCATAACTAATTTTGCTACTGTTATGAATAATAATGTAAATATCTGATACACTGGCTATCTGATATAATCCCTGTAAAAGGATCCTTCAACACCCCCCCCCCCAAAGGATTGGGACCCACAGGTTGAGAACTGCTGATCTAGGGTGCTCCTTAATTTCATTTTCCCTGAGGTATATGTGCGTGACTAGACTTTGACTTGGAGCATTTTTAACAACTTTATGTGCTGTCCACATTGCCCAGATTTCAGTGTGTTGATGGAATGTGGTAAGAGGAGACCCTGGTGAGATCTGCCTTACTTTTACTGTTTTACATTTGTTTTCCTTTTGTTGTTGGTGGGAGTTTCTTGTTTTTGGTTTTTGGAGACAGGGTTTCTTTATGTAGGCCAGGTTGTCCTCAAACTCGCTTGGCATTTTTGTTTTGTTTGTTTTTGTATTCATGTTAGCCATCTCCTGAAATCAGTTATGTTAGTATGTACCTCTTGTCCTTGAGGTTATAATGCATATGGCAAGAGAACTTTTGAAGGGATACTGTGTTTCTATATTTGGAGTTTTATCATATGTAATTCAGTATTTTGGAATGTTGGCCTAGCAAATTAACATATACATTAAAACTATGTGAGCAATACTTTATGTTTGTGGTCATTGATAGGTAGAATTAATGTGTGTCAGAATAGTCAAAAATAACTCAGGTGGGATGATTTTTTTAAAATTTGAATATCTGTCCTGTGCACAACAAATGTCTGCCATGCCATAGCCACCCTGTCCACTAAATTTCTTTTTCTTCTTTTAATTTTGAGGTGGATGTTTTTATTTTTTGTACATGGGTATTTTGCCTGCATGTAAGTCCGTACACTTATGTGCATGTCTAGTGACTAAGATGGTCAGAAGAAAGTACTAGAGTTCCTGGAACTGGAGTTGCCATGTGGGTACTGGAATTGAACTCTAGTGTCTAGAAGAGCAGTCAGTGCTCTTCTGTCCCCTAAATGTTACTTTGACCCCTGCCTCTTCTTCATCCACTGAAATCTAAAGTACCCAGAGGAAATGCTGCCTTCCTTCACTGAGAACTGGTGGATTAAGTGAAATCCTTGATAGATTTTGACCCTAAACAAACAAAACAAAACCTGCAGTGCCTTAAATAATACTGAAGTTTTATAAAATCTATGAAAACTAATACAATAATTAACCCAAGTATATTTGTTTGACCTTTTAAAAATTCTGATTTTTTGCTTTTTTCTTCTAGATTGGAAACCTCCACCTGCACAAACTGGATGAACTTGACTGCCTTGTAAAGGGCTTGCTGTATATAGATTCTGTCAGTTTCAATGGGCAAGCAGAATGCTATTATTTTGCTAATGCCTCAGAACCTGAACGATGCCAAAAGATGCCTTTTAACCTGGATGATCCTTATCCACTGCTGGTAGTGAATATTGGCTCAGGAGTCAGTATTTTAGCAGTTCATTCCAAAGACAACTATAAAAGAGTGACTGGGACAAGGTAGTAATTTTTTTGGTCTGATTACACTATTTGTTCAACAAAAGTTCTAGCGTGTATTTTGTTTTTTTTTATCTTTCTGTCTGTTTATTTTTGGTGATAGAGATCAAACATAGGCCTCATACTGTTGCTAGGCAAGTATGCTGCACTGAATTGGGTCCCCAGTTGCATCAGTACGTTGCTAGTTCGCTAATTCTACCAGAAAAATAATACATATTTGTGCAACTGCAAAAATATATAGGGGGCTGGAGAGATGGCTCAGTAGTTAGGAGCCCTTGCTATTTATTGCAGAAGACCCACATTCAGTTCAACACCCACAGGGCAGCTCACAGCCATCTTTAAGTCCAGTTCTAGAGGTTGTAGCCGTTGCTGGCACTAGCCACACACATGGTGCTACATACATGCAAACAAAACACTCAAACACATAAAAGTAATGTCTTTAAAAAGAATATAGATGTGTAAATTAAAATGTTGCAGATCTCTTTTGTAAGATGTTTGTGTAATGACTTAAAACAAGTCCCTAAGTATTTTTTAATGGTCATCATCAGTTGGCATCAGAATTTCCATAATGATGAATTAATTTTTGTGTAGAATAATTCCACTGTTTTTTCCTAGTTTAACAGTTGCTAGCAGTGGCAGTCAGCATTCTGTTGACTTCAGAACTATAGTATCTGTTTATATTTTGTTTAATTTCTACAGCATTTTTTTTCTGTTTTTATATTTAAGCATAAAACTTGCCCAGTACTTTATAGATTTGCATTTAAACTACAGTATCAGACAGAGTAGTTAATTATTTTGAATTTATTTTCATATATATGTATGGACACATAAGTGCAGGTGTCCATAGAGGCCAAAAGGTGTTAGATCCCTGAAAACTGAGTACAGGTAGTTGTGAGCTGCCAGTTGGTGATGGTGGGAACTGAATCCAGGTCCTCTACAAGAGCAGTTAACCTTTGAGCCACCTCTCTAACGCTGTAGTTAATTTTTAGGATGAATTTAATGATAACTCCTTATAGAATAAATTAATATTCTCAAGTAGACCATAACTTTTTAATAACCTGAAATATGAATGTGAATTGTTTTTACAAGACTTAATTCTCTTACATATTTCATCAACGTTTAAGAATAGGTAGCAATGCCTGTTCAACTATGGGAGCAAAAATTTTGAAATAATTTAGGTAGGTTTATGGGGGGGTAATTTTAAAGCAATACTCCTGTTGAAATATTTAAATGCATTAGTACTCTAATAGTGATTGGTACTCTAGAAGCCCACTTTTGTACTGTCATTAACCAAAGACTATACAAAACATTCTTGTTTTGATTAACTACAAAAAATAGAAAGAAAAAAAAAAAAGCCAGGTGGTGGTGGTGGCGGCGGCGGCGGCGCATGCCTTTAATCCCAGCACTTGGAAGCAGAGACAGGCGGATCTCTGAGTTCAAGGCCAGCCTGGTCTCCAAAGTGAGTTCCAGGAAAGGTGCAAAGCTACACAGAGAAACCCTGTCTTGAAAAACCAAAAAAAAAAAAAAAAAAAATTTAGGTGATTCTACCAAAGAATTTACATTTAAAGACTAGAGTCACACAATTACATTTCATGGACATATCCAAAATCATATGGGAATAGTACGAATAAATTTGTCGTTAATGTGATGATCAGCTGGATATCCTTCCTTCCTTTCTTCCTCTAAGTATTGGTCTGGTTCAAGTTAGATGTTCATATATCGTAACTGAATTGATTTCAACCTAATTGGGCAACTAAATAAGCCTTTCATGAAGTCATTTCTTGGGAATTTAAAGCACAGATTTCCCTCTTTGTGTGGTATTTTTAGGACATAGACATCCTTTTTGAGTCTTTTTGTGTTGGACAGACTGACCCAGAACTCAGGGTCTTGCTTGTCTCAGCTTCTCTAGTGCTGACAATTTTGGCATGCATTATCTCACCAACCTATTATTAGTGTTCCTTTATTTATTTGGTGGTTTTTTGTTTGTTTTGTTTTTCGAGACAGGGTTTCTTTGTTTAGTTTCGGAACCTGTCCTGAATCTCACTCTGTAGAGCAGGCTGGCCTCAAACTCACAGATCCACCTTGCTCTGCCTCCCTAGTCCTGGGATTAAAGGAGTGCACCGCCACCGCCAGCTTAATGTTTGTTTTAGTGAGCACACAGCAGTATATTTTTAGCAATTACAAAGTATAAACTATTAGATTCCAGGTGGGGTTTTTGACCCCAGCAGACTTAGCCTTTGAGATGACAGATTTGATTTTATTTGTAGTTTTTCTTGTCTTTTATTATGTTGATATTTAGCAGTTACCATGTTTTCCCTTTGTTTATTCAATAAATAAATGTGTCTTTTTACTTTGGGAAAGAAAATAACATGTAAATGCAATTTAACAAGATTGTCTTACTTTATTTTATCTAGCCTTGGAGGAGGTACATTTCTTGGTTTATGCAGCTTATTGACTGGCTGTGAAAGTTTTGAAGAGGCTCTTGAAATGGCATCCAAAGGTGACAGCACCCAAGCTGATAGGCTGGTCCGAGATATATATGGAGGAGATTATGAAAGATTTGGTCTGCCAGGCTGGGCTGTGGCATCCAGGTAAGTCAAGTTGTCTATTTAGTTTTTTGAAAATAGTAAGTCATGGGGTTTAAGGGTGATTTCTTTGTTTAGAGTCCAAGTTTTGAACATTGAAGTAGTTTAAAAATAAAATAATCAAGCCGGGTGGTAGTGTTGCATGCATTAATCCCAGCACTTGGGATACAGGTGGATCTCTTGAATTTGAGGTTAGCCTGATCTACAGAGTAAGTTCTAGGACAGTCAGCACAGAGAAACCCTGTCTTGAAAACAAACAAATAAATAAATTCATTATGAAGTTTATTCTGTAGAAAAAAAATTGCCTTGTAGTGGTGATATTCTCAGTGGAGGAGCATTTGCCTAGTATGCCCAAGGCCAGGGTTTGATTCCCTGCACTGCATTAAAAAAAAAAAAAAAAAAAAAAAAAAACTTCTCAGCTGGCCATGGTGGCACATGCCTTTAATCCCATCATTTAGGAGGCAGCGGCAGGTGGAGTTTGAAGCCAACCAGTTCTACAAAAGGAGTTTCAGGTCAGTCAGGGCCATGCCGTGATACACTGTCAAAAAACAAAAACAGGAAAACAAACATCTTATTCTGAAGCACCTATCTCCTATTGCTATATGGAAATACAAATCATATCCTATAGTGTAGATGTATCCAACCATCTTATTAAATAAGAAACACAGAACCAATGTATAAGAGAAAGCCAAGAGGTCAGAGCTCAGAGCTAAAATCTCACCCTTCCTCCTGCGGTGGTCCCAGCTTCCCGAAAAGAGAGCTACTTCCCTGTGTATAAGTTGTTTCATAGTCATTCTGCCTTCTCATTGGTTGTAAACCCAAACACGTGACTGCCTCGTCACTGTCTGTATGTATAGCCCCCCAGGTCTTAAATGCATATGTCTCCAGTGCTGGCTGTATCCCTGAACACACAGATCTATGGGGTTAAAGGCGTGCGCCACCACCGCCACACTCTGTCTATGGCTCTAATAGCTCTGACCCCCGGGCAACTTTATTTATTAATATACAATCAAAATCACATTTCAGTACAATTAGAATACCTCTGCTTATCCAAAAACTTGGGGCACTATATAGCATATAGTATACATACTCTAAAATAGTCACACATCCTAGAAATCTTTACACGTTGTTCATGTTGTCATGTCTATACCTTACATTTCCAAAGGTAAAGCACAAATGCTTTTTACAGTTTTGTTTAGCATACCCTCCAAATGGTGGCTTTTCATCTAACACACCAAGTAAAAGTATTTCCCTACAGTTGAACTAGTATGCTGTAAAACATTTGAGTTTTTGCTAATCTGATAGAGAAGCAGCATTTTAGTGTAATTTTATTTGCATTTCTTTTACCAACACTGAGGCTAAGAACCTTACATAGTATGCTGTTAGTAATTATTGATCTGGGTTTTTTGTTGGCTTGTTATGCAGTTGAATTTAATCAGTCCTTTCTTTAATGGCTTCTGGATATTGATTCATAGTAAGTCTGCCACATTCTAAATATATAAAGGAATTGATCTGTATTTTCTTTCTTTTGGTACTTTATAATGTATTACTTTTATACCTCAGTCTTTGCTATGATATAAACAAACATGATTTATAATTTTTCTTACAGCTTTATGTGAGAGATAGATACAGTTTTAGTTTTTCAACTTTTTTCACAAGGACCTAACATCTATTATTTTTTTCCACTGATTAGAGATGAATTCATCATGCACTAGTGTTTTGCTTTGTTATTGTTTTTTATTCTGGATGTACCATTGCTACATTCTCTTAAAGCTATAGAAGATAAAAGTATGCTTACTTATTTTTTGTGATCATTAAATTTCTTTATTAACTTAGGGAAATGACATCCTTGGGCCAGTAAGATGACTCAGTGTGTAAGGGTGTCTGCTGCCTTGCTTGTCTACCTGAGATTGAGCCCAAGAACCTACTGAGTAAAAGGAGAGAACTAACTCCTGCAGATTGTCTTCTGACCTCAGTGTGTGTGCACACAGAGAGGGAGAGATTAACTAAATGTTTGAAAATGGTATCTTTATGATATGTTATCTTTCTGTTACAAAACTTAATCTGTTTAAGGCACTTTTGTACCTTTCAGACATTTAGAAAGATGTCTATATATTTATATTAAATTTTTCCTAAACAATTTAAAATTTTGTTAGCCTATTATTTTACACATAATGGGATTCATTATGGCATTTTCATTTGTAAATATAATTTTTGTTTTTGTGTTTTCAAGGCAGCATTTCTCTGTGTATTCCTGGCTGTCCTGGGACTCACTTTTTTTTTTTTTTTTTTGGTTTTTCGAGACAGGGTTTCTCTGCGTAGCTTTGCGCCTTTCCTGGGACTCACTTGGTAGCCCAGGCTGGCCTCGAA